AATAACACCTGAATTATCTTTGTTTATCACTGGGCCTCCACTTTACACCAGGTCTGCCCAGGAAGTGTTCTCATCTCAACAACCTCAGTGGATGGGAATATATTAAGGCAGGCAGAGTGGAACACTTTGTCCTCCAAAGGCAACAAGGGCCACCAAACAACATAAAAAAAGTTGAAGTGTTAGAAGGCAGGTAAAAATGGTCAGAATTAGGACTTTGACAGCCGACTTCTGACGTCTCCCATGTCTTCAAAGCGGTCCTAAGGGAAGGAAAGCCGTCTCCTGTGGAAAACAAGGAGACAGGCGGTTATGGCCGACCAATGGCCTCATTGATGCACGTGGGGAGTGAAGGGCTGGCCTGTGGCTGGTCCGCATCAAACAGACGCGAGCTACTGTAGCTCAAATTGAAAAAGTGAATGCTGGTTCTGATAGAAAGGTGTCAGAACACACAGTGCATCGCAGTTTGTTGCGGCTGATCGGTGTATATATACCACTGGATGTCAGAATAGAGCACCAGCATGTCAGACTCGCCAAAATTGCCTTTGTTCATCTTTCCACTGTCTTTTCACCAAATGTTGCTGTTTGGTCAAAATAAACTCTTAATTGACTGAGTTAGATAATATTTGTGAAAAGGGCTGCCATTGGTAAACTAATGTTAATCCTTGGGGACAAATGCGACCGTCAAAATACGTCCACAGAGGATTATCACCTGACAAACTTTATACTGTGTGTCACTTTGACTGTTGATCATTAACCACTTTTAAAGTATTGTTTGGCAACAACAGGCCGCTGTTTTCAAAGCTCTAAAAATTTAAAATGTAAAGCATTTAACAGCTGAAGAGCCAGATATTTTTAACAGGAGTTGGTGGAGACCAAAAACATCTAAATACAGAGTAATTATTAGATTTATAACAATCGGGTGGCCAGAAACTGGTGAAAGACTCCAAGTGAATGCTAATCTTGCTCTGTGGTGCCAGATGGGTAAATAAAGCCTATCAACTTTATGAGGTGATTATATGTCAGTGTTGTGTTCACAGAAGGTTTCTGCTGCCACCAAGTGGCCAAAAACATTTTCAATGTATAGTCTGTTGTTTGTATAAATGCTGTTGCTCTTTCTGTCCCTTTAGGAAACCGTGCAGTAAGAAGACAGGAACCTCCACCTCTGAACCAAAGCCAGTCAACAAAGATGAATGTTATTTATCCCACTGCCCCATTTCAAAATAAAGGTTTTAGTCACTTTATTTCTGCTTCTGACCTGTTTGTGTAGTTTTGTAGATAACTACTGCTCTAAATATTTACAGATTGCAAAGTCATTTTTTATAACTGTATTAGATTATTCTGCTAATTGTCAGAAATTCCAGAAAATGTGTGAAATGATTATTGGCTGTCCAAAACGTTGTTATAAAACAGTAGTTTTTGTACTACTGTATTTAGCCCTACATAATATTATTAGAAAGATTGAAGAGTTGCATTATTTACAAATATGATAAATATTGTGGGTTTTAAGACACCAGCTGGTTGATATAAAATAGGTAGTAGAGTAAAAATTGGTATAAATCAATTGAGGAGAGGGTCTTCACAAGAAAAAATAATTTAAAATATCTTTATCTGTGATCATTGACTGTATGTCAAACGTTAGCCTTCTCACTAATGTCTGATTGCTGTTGTAAACTTGTTATAAAGAGGACACTCAATCTCAGATTAGAGGCAAACCAATTAGTAGATAAAAATGTGATCATCTCAGCAGTGTTTACAAAAAGTTGGGCCAAGCTGAGGCTGAAGGTCAGACTATAGACCCATTATTGTGACAAAACCATTCACATGTGTAGAGTTGTCGACTAATCTAATCGACTAAACTTCTCAATTAACTCGAGCAACATAATGTCAAAAAATAGGGAAAAATAACTACTCTGTTTCCTAAAACCCATTTTACAGTCACATAAAAAAATAAAAAGATGCCTCAGTCCTCACAACTGAGAAGCTGGAACTAGGAAATAACTGACATTTTTGCTGGAAAATGACTTAAAATGATCCATCACTTATCAAAGTAGTTGCAGTTTAATTCTTCTGTTGACTAGTTGCTTAATCGTTGCAGTTGTTTTTACTACATCTAGGGTTACTAACGTTTCAGATTAAGATCAGTTTATAAAATGTGTTGCTACAGATTAAATGCCCTAAAATGTGCTCCTCCTCATCCCACAACACTGTACAACTGCTAACATATTACTGCATCAACAGTAATCAGTAATATAACTAAGGAAAGACACATCTTCAGAAGAAACTGTGCATGTACTGGCTGCTAATACATTGGCGTTTGAACAGGTCTGAAAATGGAAGGGCTGAAAGACATTAACATTTAGGTGGAGCTGTGTGCAATGAAGTAATGTTTGAAGTTAAAAGTGCTGAAAGTGTAAAATATGAAAGCAGCTGAAATGTTCCTGCATAATGATATATATATATTTTAATTATAATGCAGGAACATTTCAACTGCTTTACACTCTGGAAGGGGCCATTCTGTATTATGATCATTTACTTTTGATACTTTATGTACATTTGTACCACTAGTTTTGTTTTAGTGGTACGACTACTTGTATGTACTTCGTAAATGATGTGATTATTTTTGCACCGCCAGTGGAAGACCCTCAAAGCACAAACCAACTCTGGGCTTGGTTTATTAAATAGCAAAGTCAGACAGGATGTCTCAAATCCCTCAATCAGGACTCAAAATGCGTCTTAATAAAATACAACTGGCTTATAAAGTTTGTCACAGTTTTACAGTATCCAAAGTGAAAGTTTGAAATAAAAATGTAGAGAAAGTAAAGGCAAGAAGACATTTAAATAGTGTGCTAAGGAATCTATCTCCTGATACTATAATAATAATAATAATAATAATAACAACAATCAGGCTGGCGTTATAAAAAAGAAAAAGCAAACTGAAGAATTCTCTAGCAAAGATCTAACTCACCTGATTCTTTTCAACACTCAAATATACAACAATGTACATATTTTCGTAAACAACCTTAATTTCAATAGATAATCTTGTTTACAAGTGCACCTGGAGGAGAAAAATAACATTTATATCCTTTTGCATCAACTGCCCGTCCTGTGTCCAAGATGTGCGTTAATGGCAAATCTGTTGTAAGTTCTATCAAGAATAAAGAGTGTAGTCCACAACTGTACATTTTACTCCCTTTCACAACAGCCATTATACATCAGGTCAATAGTCCAGTGGCTGAAGCAGAGAGGACACGTGCTGGATTTTGACATCTTGGGACGACAGTTGTTACTGTCTTCTTAGCTCAGGAATGGACCCATCCACGCTCTCAAAGGGACACCAGCTGAGTTCCAGTACTGGCTCTGAATCTGTTGTTTCTACTGCCGAGTTCCCGGGGGTAGAGTGAGGTTGGCCATCAGTTCGTGAACAGAAGCAAATATCGTACACTCACCTGAAAAAAAAGATATAGATCGGATTTTAGCAAAAGGCATTTGGCATCAAGTATATAAGTTGATACCAGTTTCAGTATCACAAATTTGATATGACTTTTTCAGTATAGTAAATTATTCAGTGTTCATCAGTGTGCGAGTCTCACCCTGTCTGGCGGGGTGCAGTTCATTGAACCTCTTAAGGATATTGGAGACCATGAGTGCTGCAGCCCCAGAGGAGCTGTGCTGTCTGGGGATGTCGGCCTGCTGAGTGAGACCTGTGGCCATGTCGTACACAATGGGCACGATAATGCTCACTGGTTCCTGGGGCACTGGCATACGCTGGGTCAGCTGCAACTGTGAGGCAAAACAGACCAAACAGGGTCAGGTGTTTAAAATGATGCTACACAGGTAGATACCTTGTGCCCTGGTTGAGGAGAGCTAATGGTGACGCTCTGCTGAGACTTACAAAGAAGAGCATCTTGGACTTTAGCACCACAGCGATGGTTCCAGGTGGGGCGATGGGGGGAGCGCTGGGAGGGATGGTGAGACAGAACTGGACATTCCACTTGAGCTGTGCAGCCTGGTCAGGGAACTGCAGACAAAGGCAAGTTTGTATCATACAGTATCTTACAGACAGAGAGGAACTTGCTTTATATAAAGTGAAGAAATGAATAAAGATACTAAAAGATTTAAACTGTCTTTAAATACATAATACATTTTTCACAGGGCGTATGATGTACTTGTTCTGTATCTTGTTGCAATCTGTCCAGTGTTATTTGATAGCTACTATGACAGTATAACAGAAGCAGCTTACATATTCATAAATACCCTCCACTCAAATATGTGTTTCTTCTTGTTCCTACAGTTGAATGTTTGACTTTCACTGTGCAGAATGCTGTATGTGCAGTTTGACACTAGAATCGATGTTTTCAACATTCATCTGCTGAAAGTGGAAAGTTTCTCTGTGATAACTGAAAAACTGGTTTTAAGAGGTGTGGCCTATGAGCAGGATTTGTGACATCACAAAACAACAACAACAACAAACTTGAAGCCACCAGTGCACATACACTGAAGATCCAGCAGGAAAACTTAAGAAATCACTTAATTTACATATTCAAAGCTTCTTTAGACACTTGAGGTAGATAAGTAGATGTCCCTTTGAGGATTTTAATGTGGAATTTTATTTATTTATTTTTTGGTGGACAAAACATCAGACACGCATTATTATTTCAAACAGAATATTTGTATTACGTCTTAATGCATGTCTGAAGGGGATCTTTAAATTAGAATTTTCTAACAGGTGTAGTAACATCTGTGTGGAGATGATGCTACGCAATCTTCAGTTTCTCAGATGAGGCTCATGCACAATAATGATTAAATACATGTAACAACCCCTGGTGTAAAAGAAAGAGCTACCCACCAGCTCAAGCTTCATGATGCGCACACAGTCCCGAAGGATGTTTGTGGGCGCCCCCAGCAGCTTTGTGAAGGCATTCAGAGTGTTGTATTTGAAGGGAGGACCAGCAACCTAGAAAGAGAACAGCAGAAGATGGATCAGTGGAATAACAACAGGAGTGCAGGCATGTGTTCCTATGAGTGGCCTTAAAGGCTATCCCTGTTAAATTCATTGGCTTTTAGTTGAAGCACTACACTTAAATGAAGTTTTAGATATTTCCAATGTAGAACAATATTTTTAATTATGATCAGTTGAGACAAATACAAATTTTTCCATTTTTATTTTCAAACATGCCTCAAATGTATGCATTTGAATTATTTATGTATTAGGCTTTAAAAGGATGCTGCATATACTGACCCGTGTCTCAAAGAACTTCTCCAGCACCTGAAGCTCCTCCTGGGACCATGGACCTGCGTTTTCTGGAGTGACTTTGAGCTGCAGCGTCTGGTAGTTCTTTGGGTTGAGAGCCACGCGGCACTTGAGCACGTCCGTCTTGAACATGATCACCCCCGGCTCATTAGAGTTCACAATCGATAACTGGAGGAGAGATGACAGAGTGAGGGAAGTTAGGAAAACACACATAATTTAATTTGAGTGGGGGATAAGGCACCATAGAAGTATTGATAATCTGGGCAACACTTACATTGGCCTCCTGCTGGATGATCCTCTGTAGGTGCCGTCTCATGATAACTGAACCCAGGAAGCGCTCCAGCGGCGAGCAGAGGTAGCTTCCTGCCAGGCCTGGCACCTGGCAGGGAGTGGGTGAGGGGAGCAGAAGCACGTGCAAGGCATTGTGGGTGAGGATGGTAGGAATGGAGGCAGCCCAGGGGCGCTGAGGTAGCTTGCGGGGTGGAGGCATACTGGTAGGCATGACTTGTGAACCTACACCAAAGACAGAGAGAGAGGGAGATGTTTATTATTGACTTAGAAACAGTGTCACAAAGTTTGTGATGCATAGTTTGCCCACCAGAGAGAGAGATGTCCCACTCTATATATCTTCATTACAATAGCAAAATAATTAAGGGATTTCAGTATCAGTGAGCAATACTTACCAGTCCCAGCACGTGGAGAATGAGGGTCAGGGATGGGTGAGTGCAGTGATGGGTTGCCAGGGGACATGCCATGGATCCTTGCCCCAGGAGAAGGCCCTGAGACCTGGGGTGAGCCCGGCCACTGGCCCCTATGGCTGGGAGACAGCATGGCATATGGAGAGCTGGGGTCCAGAGCACCTAGGGTGAAGGACAGACAGCCATCAGTAACAAAACAGCGCTCAATATACAACAATAAACACAGTCAGATGAATACACCACTGTGTGCCCACTAACCACAGGCCATTTGTCATATGCTTGCTAATGTCTG